TGAGGGTGGAGCAGATGTAGAACTGGTCTGCAAAAAGGCCGAGCATTCAGTGAAGGAATGCACGTCACCCGCCGCTGTTCACGCAACAGTTTAAGGTCATGTGCTGAGAAAAGTAGGAAGCTTTCAAAATAACGTGCACGTTCAGTTCTGTTTATTTGTAGAGCGCCAGCAAACGTCGACTCAGAGCGCTGTGCACAGACATTCACATACTTTATTAGTTATTTATCTAAGACTGTGACGTTTAGCCGCTGCGCCGTGGGAGATCGTCGGGCGTGACGAGGGAAACTGTCCAATATTTAATTAATTCAAAATATTACAGTACTTTAGTTAAAAGTGTTTAATTTAAACTGTTCCTTGTGAGCAGGAGGCAGGACAAGAAGGAGCTGGTGAACTGGACTCTGGACAAAGTTCTGCGTTGGGGATCGATGCGTCTTAGCAGCCGTCTTTAGAAAGGACACGACGGTGCAGGAGGACGTAACTGGACTGAGACGAAGCTAAGCCAGGCTGATCTACATTTGGACACTGCTGCTCAAAGGTTTCCCATTCTCACAAACTGGGTCATTTAACAACGCTCCCATTTTCCACGACTGATCTATGTGAGCTGAGCTTTTCAATCGCGGCTGTCATCAACTCTGAAAACAAAAAGAGACTTTCTTCATTTCCTGCCAGGATATGATGTTTGTGTTCGTCTCCGCAGGTTCCACGGCGAGTGAACTCGGAGGTTAAATGTCACCGGTTGAGCTGCATTAGGCCACGACGCCTTTTTGAATCAGTGTTGTGCCACAAGGTTTTTCTTTAATGGAAATAATGTGTTGCAGCTCAAAAAAGGAAGTCGGCGGATCGTGCGGAATCGCCACATTGTCTCAACGTTCTCAGGGTGCGTGTTGGGATGACTCTCGGCTACTACCACATCTGATTTGAGCTCCAACTGTAAAATTTACCAAGTTATAGTCATTGCCGTTCTTGTTACTCTTAGTTAGCTGTGGCAGCCATCATGAATTGAGTTTGTTCCAAAAGTTCACGAGGTGTAGATGAACATGTGTCATGTATGAAACGCCCACGACCCCTCGAGGATCCCAGTGAGGGTAAAGAGCTGGTCCAGTGTTCCACGCCCAGGATGGAACCTGCATTGTTCCTCCTGGATCTAAGGGATGGGAGTATGGGCGTACAATCGATGAGGGTATGATCTTTCAGTTTGATTACAATCCGCCCACTGATTAAAAAATAAACTTCACACAAATTAAAGAGTATTATTGTTCAAGAATCGGATGGATACCGTCCTTGAACAAAACAAAGTCACAGAACTTCTGGTAAAACTTAGAATGTGATATTGTTCTGTCTGGAAGCTGCTGCTGACTTTTCTATTCCTCCTCTGGTGAAAACACTTTCAACAGATTCAGGGAATAAGACGGAACGTCGGGGCAGTGCCACTGGATTGGCAGACTGGGGTGGAGGTTCCCCTCTTCAGTTATGGGGGGCTGGAGTGTGGGCTCCAATTACAGGGGCATCCTCCCTGTAAGGTCTATTCAGGAGTACTGGAGAAACGAGTCCAATCGTTGGTCGAACCTCAGATCCAGGAGGAACAATGTAGGTTCCATCCTGGTCGTGGAACACTTGACCAGCTCTTTACCCTCACTACAGTCCTCGAGGGGTCATGGGAGTTTGCCATCCAGTCTACATGTATTTGTGGACTTGGAGAAGGCTTTTGACCGTGTTCCTCGAGGTACACTGTGGGGGTTCCATGGTCCTCGGTCGGAAAAGGATGGATTGTTCTCTTCAGGTCGAGGGTGAGGTTCTGCCTCAAGTGGAGGAGTTTTGTTCTCAGTGAGGGAAGAATGGAGCGTGTGATTGACAGACAGATTGGTGCAGCGTCTGCAGTATTGTGGACTCTGTGCCGGTCCGTTGTGGTGAAGAGGGAGCTGAGCTGTAAGACAAAGCTGTTTACTGGTCGTCTACGTTCCTCCACTCACCTCTGGTCATGAACTCTGGTAAGGATGCATCTCCGACTGGGAGGAGACCCCAGGGAAGACCCAAGAGGAAGACGATGGATGGATGGATGGATTCAGGAAACCGAGAAATAAACATAGTTTAGTTTATAGGTTTATTGTCTTTAACTATCAAAATGTGGTAAACTTCATGTAAATACTTTTTGTTGTTAACCGTTACTGAACCGGGCTAATCCCACTGAGTTCACAGATCTTCAAGAACGGCCTGGACCTGAAGACTGCCTAACATGAATGGTTTTTTTTTTGACTGTTGGAGGAACCCGGAGGACCCGGTGAAATCCAACACAAACACAAGGAGAACATTCAAACTCCACACTGAAAGACCCTCTGGTCCAAACCAGGGACTGAACCAGGACCTTCTTTTTGTGAGGCAACAGTGCTAACCACTAATCCATCATGGTTCCCACACTATTTCTTAGTTTTAAAATACTTTTTACAACACAGGAGACATAAAGTTTTACAAGAACTGTGTCTAATGTCTTATAAAAAGTTACAAAGCTTTTATTCTGACGGTCATAACAACATGATGTCAAAGGAAGCTAATGGAAATATTTACCTCTACAATAAAACATTATTCCTGCTCAGGAACAGTTCTCTAATATTTACTGAGACCCGAGTGATTTGGAACGAACGAGCTGAGTCGATCTGTGCTGAAGCATTTTCTTCTCGTCAGTTTTGAACAGAATCCTGGATGTGAAACATTTTGGTTCAGTCGTCCTGACGTTAATCCCGTCAGACGTTTTAGGAGATGTTCTCCAACTCGACACCTTCTGTCTCACCCCCCAACAACCTCTGCGCTGACATCATCTGTTCTGTGCAGAGACAAACAGACTTTTGTTCTCGGTCTGCCTGCTTTTGTCCACAGAGGACAATGGACCAACTCTGGGGGGCAGAAAATGATGAAGACGAGGAGGAGGAGGGGGGAATGAAGAAAAGTGATGAAGAAATGAGGAAAGTTTTTTTTTTTTTGAGTTCCCTGGAGGTTTGAGTAAAGCAGCAACAAACAGAAAATTTGTCTTTTTTTTTTTTAGTTTTTGCTGCAGGCTCGTCCCAACTGCTGCAGAATAAATGTTGGGAACACTTCACCTGTCAGGTGAACAGGAAGTGATGTTCAGGTGTCACCTTCACACTAAAGGCTGCTGCGGCTGAAGCTGGACTTTCTGTTGAATCTTCTTCTTTCAGCTGTTCCCTCATCAGGAGTCTCCACAGCGAGTCGTCCTCCTCTGCGTCCTCTGTCCTCACTCCGACCACCTCCATGTCCTCTCTAACTGCATCCATACATCTCCTGTCTTTTTCCTGCAGCTGCATTTCTAACATCCTTCTACCAGTATTCCCACTGTCCCTCATCTGGACATGTCCAAACATCTCAGTCTGTCCTCTCTAACTTCATCTCCTAGCTCTAATAAACTTAAGTCAGGTCCTCTGGAGGATTCTTCTTGTTGAAATGTTTCGACTTTTATCCAAAAGACTTGTTCAGTCTGAGGAGCTGCAACAAACGTCCATCACGTCTAATAAAGGAGGACCATCAGCCCAGCTGTTGCTCGTTAGTGCCACTTGCTATTCACAGAAGGCTGAGTGGTACGAGCTGAACTCTGAATCAACATTCACACTCTTCGTCATGAGAGAAAAAATAATTTAAGTCAATAAAATCAAACGATCTTCTTCCTGTTGTTTAAAAGTTTTTAGTTTCAGCCTTTAAAGATTCATTTCTGTGATTTAAACCATCGGGGAGGAAACGAAGATCTTCACTGGTCTGACAGTAAAACAAAAGATGTGAAAGTGAAGCGAGACATTTGACTTGATGTGTTTGGATAAGGTTTGTTATTGGGTGAAATGAATGAATGATGGATTGAATGAATGAATGATGGATGGAATGAATGAATGAATGATGGATTGAATGAATGAATGATGGATTGAATGAATGAATGATGGATTGAATGAATGAATTAATGAATGAATGATGGAATTAATGAATGAATGATGGAATGAATTAATGAATGATGGAATGAATGAATGAATGAATGATGGAATGAATGAATGAATGAATGATGGATGGAATGAATGAATGAATGATGGATGGAATGAATGAATGAATGATGGATTGAATGAATGAATGATTGATGATGGAATGAATGAATGAATGATGGATTGAATGAATGAATGATGGATTGAATGAATGAATGATGGATTGAATGA